TATATATATACACACATATATATTCTCAGTTGTTTGGACTCCATTTCATTAGGTACCTATTAATGGTGCCTAATTTTGTACCCCCCTACTGTACAGGGCATTCAGAAAGTATTCATTTTTTTTCACATTGTATGTTGTAGCCAGTGAATGGGAAAGCTACTTTTAAAAGTATTGCATTACAATATTGCATTACTCCAGAAAAAGTAACTCATTGCAGTTATTTTTTATGGAAAGTAATGTGTTACACTACTTTTCCGTAACTTTTTCTCATCTGGGCTGGGATTGCTTGCTTGTTTTTAATAATAAAAAAGCTCTAGTTTTGGCAGTGTAAAGATCCTTTCACACCAAAAGTGAATGAATAAGACTCAGGCAGAAGGAAATGTAAATTCACGTCTATACAGTAGAGGTCGCAGCTCAAACAAACCTTCCAGCTGTGCTGCCATTCTGAATTGCATGACGTATAGGACGCAGGAGAAGTCATTTTTGCTTATTAGCAGTGTTGGGCTCGTTACTCAAAAATGTTTTATTTATTACTTGTTACAAGTTATTATATATTACATTATTTATTACTTTCTGACAACAGTAATTAGTTACACTAGTTACATTACTTTTCCTTCACGCCGCACAGTTGTTATTGCTTACCTTACCCATAAAATTCTTCTGAAATGTTATTAACAATATATTTCTGCCTCATAATTTGACCAAAATCCATACTAGATCGCAGTCATAAGTTATTACAAACGCTCAGTGGTGATTGATAGTGATGTTTAGGATAAAGTGTTGTATTATTGTGATTAATTGTGCTTGAAGCTAATTGTAGCTGTAATTTCTCTGTTACCCATATACAATTATATTTCATGAAGTATTTTATCAAAAGAAATCACATAAGTTCATATGAAAATGTTTTGTTTCCTAAAAAGATGTTTAATTATAGTAATAGGCTACAATTTATATCGGGATCACAGGGATGTGGGTGGGCAAGCCATGTAATGCCAGAGTAAAGTAATGCCACAACCTATACATCTGTGTTCAGATCATCTTTTCTTCTCACAAAATCAATGTAATCGCAATGCTTCCTGCTGAATGTAAACATATCCATATTTCAAGCTTGCCTACTGCACTGGTGATTCATGTGCCTGTGCGAGTCGTGAAAATTATGAAAATAAATATAGGAATTATTGTATTTTTGGACTTCAAATCAATAGGGGTTGAGGCATCAAAAGTAACTAAGTAATGAACTGTTTTTGTAATGGGCTCATCTCTGCATTGCTGTTTTCATCCTGGCCTGCAGGGGTCACTCTTCTTGAGCCCTTTATGTCATGTTCCCTCCAGTACTGCAGATGGCGCTTGTATTATGAACTCTAGTCTTTCCGCTCCTCCAGATGGCGCCATCGCCCCATACCATGTTCAGTATCCTGCTAATCAGCTTTGATTCCCCACACCTGTGTTTGACCCTTTATACGTCTGTTTGTTCCCTGCTATTGTGTTCAGTCTTGAGCCTATTCTTCCTGAGTATCCAGTTGCCAGTCCTCAAGTTCGGTTTGATTGTTCTTGTATTTTTTGGACCCTTGTTTCTTTTTTTGTTTGATGGATGCTCAGTTTTCTATGTTTATTTTTTACTTTGTTTCTCTAGTAAAGATTATTTTTACTTTTTGAAGATTCAAGTCCCTTGGCTTTTGGGATTAACTGTCTGGGAGTAGCTCAGTGAGTAATTTCTCTGAGCAAGCCACTACCATTCAACGACATGATCAAACTCTGTCTCAGATTGTCCAACTTTTGAGACTTCAGTCCCAGGCCTCTTCACCCCAAGAACCCCAACAGTCTCCTGATGCTCAACCTAGATCCATGGTGACACTCCCTTCTGAGCCCAGATTACCAGCCCCAGAGAGGTTTGATGGAGGCCCTGAGAGATGCAGAGGGTTTATTACCCAGTGTACTCTGGCGTTTCAACTTCAACCCAGTAGTTTTCCCACTGTGAGCAGGAAGGTGGCCTACATCATTACCCTCCTCACCGGTAAGGCGCTCGACTGGGCCTCAGCTTTGTGGGACCAGAAGTCTCCACTTACCACAAACAGTCAACAGTTCATCATGGAGATGAAGAGAGCGTTCCAACATCCAGCCAGTGGGGGAGATGTGGATCATTGCCTGCTGAATCTCTCTCAAGGTACCCGAAGCGCAGCTGAGTTCGCCATAGAGTTTCGTACCCTGGCTACTGAGAGTAGATGGGATCAAAGAGCCCTAAGAGCGACCTTCCACCATGCTTTGTCGTCAGAGCTCAAAGACGAGTTAGCATTCCGAGACCCTGCCCCTGATCTCGAGCCCCTTATTGATGTAGTTATCCGGGTTGACCATCGCCTCAGAGAACGCCAGCTAGACCGCAGCGGGAGACCAGCTTACTTGAGGCCGCCAGTCATGTTAAATTACCTCCTCCTCCTCTTATGGACATGGAGGAACCCATGCAGTTGGAGGGGAACTCGGATATCCCAGGCCGAACGCAATAGGAGGATAAGAGAGAGATGCTGCCTCTACTGTGGCAAGCCAGGTCACTTTCGTTCCAACTTTCGGGAAAAGCCAAGTCTCATCCTGGAGTAGGGGGGCCTGGGCGAGAATAGGAACCATCCCCTGCTCGGCGACCTCAGGCTTGACGATCCAGGCCACAATCACCATAGGCCAGCAACACCATAAAGTATGTGCCTTTGTAGACTCGGGGGCCGCCGGGAGTTTCATGGACTTTAAGATGGCCCAAAGTCTTGCAATTCACCCTGTGATTCTCCAAGAACCCCTTAACATTACTGCAGTTGACGGCAGCCCACTGGGATCGGGTCGGGTCAGTCAGTGCACTCCACCTCTTCAGCTACAGGTGGGGAACCACCAGGAATTGATACAGGTTTTCTTAATTCATACTCCTAAACTCCCTATAATTCTTCCCATGGTTGACTGTTCATAACCCGAATATTGACTGGTCCAGAGGAGTCGTCACAGAGTGGGGAACACACTGCCAACTCTCGAATACTGCTTTCTGCGGTTCCCCTGAGCTGAAGTCTTTCAAAGAATCATTGTCAGACAATCCCAAGAGCAACTCCGTCTTTAGGCTCAAAGTCCTGTCCACGGAAGTCATGGCTGTTCCCAGGATGGAACCAGTCACTAGCAAGTCCCCACCTCACCCTCCCGAGCCATCCCGAGTTCCCCCAGAATACATGGACCTCCTCGAAGTCTTCAGTAAAGTCCAAGCTGCCACACTACCCCCCCACAGATCATACGACTGCGCTATTGAGCTTATGCCAGGAACTTGCCCACCCCGTGGAAGGCTCTTTTCCCTCTCTGGCCCTGACAGAGTAGCTATGGACAAGTATCTGAAGGAAGCTCTGGATAGTGGATTCATCCGTCCTTCCACATCACCGGCAGGAGCCGGTTTCTTCTTTGTTGAAAAGAAGGATGATAGTCTCAGACCTTTTATTGATTATCGAGGCTTAAATAACATCACAATCAAGAATCGTTACCCCCCTCCCACTTATGACCACAGCTTTTGAGATCCTGCAGGGGGCCACCATCTTTACCAAACTGGACCTTCGGAATGCATACCATCTTGTCAGGATCCGGGAGGGGGACGAATGGAAGACTGCGTTTAATACCCCGACAGGCCACTACGATTACCAGGTAATGCCATTCGGCCTGGTTAATGCTCCTGCTGTCTTCCAGGCATTTCTTAATGATGTTCTCAGAGAGATGCTTAATATATTTGTTTACTTGGATGATATTCTGATATTCTCCCGCAACCTCCAAGAACACATTCAGCATGTCAGACAGGTCCTGGCCCAGCTGCTGAAGCACAAGCTCTTTGTTAAACTGGAGAAGAGCGAATTCCATGTCCCAGTTGTCTCATTT